CCACTTGCGAATGAATCATCAAGTGATATAGAGAACAATATATCGTTCCAGTGACTTCTCATTTTGTAAACAACCCATCCAGATCTTTTGCTTTTGCCCAGAAAGCCAAACTCTGAACCACGAGAATATCTTGCACTGCGGATTTTACCAAGGGAGTCAGCAATCTGGTAAGCACACTAGTGAAGCTGGCTCCTGGAATGGTGGGGGTGCTGTGATTGTATAAAGGGGGAAGAATGCAGGAGTTGGGGATCAGAATGGAGTCTGGGGAGGTTCACATTTCCAAGGCCAAGGTGGTGCTGAGCAGTCTAGGCGCATGAGTTATATTCTCAGCAGGGAATGTCTCCTTGGGGCAGCAGAGTAGACGTTTGTTTTTGATGTCACAAACAACCTCGAAGGGACAAGAAATTTTATTAGGGATATCACACAATAAGTTTTTCAAATTCCCAGAATACAACTGCAGCAAGTTAATGGTTAATCATGAGCAATGGGATAAGAAGAAGAGAGAACAAATGGTGGTTAATGTTTAATTCCTTTTATTCCTGATCTTTAGTCTAAGGGAGGTTTTTGTTGTTGTTGCAAAATAGAGAGACTTTGGCTACAATTTCATATTGTTAAAATTGCTCTGAGATGATTTAGTTATAAAAAAAGGGGAATTTTTCTTTATTTAAATGATTTTGCCATTCTGTATAATCCTCACTCTTCATTCATTGAATGAACAACAAATACATAAAAATTTTCTAGCTTTTTTGCAGCTGAGATTTTTACATATATATGTATTTGATATTTCTATCATGACTGTCATGAAAATTATCTTTAGAATATTTAATTATCAAACCAATTCTATCAGACCAGATAAGCCATCTGTTGTGGGCTGATGTTCAAATTCTGGCTCTGCCACTAAGGTTCAGTCTCTTCTTTATGCCTCAATTTTATCATTTATAAGAGGGAGATACTGACAATTACAACGTCCTTAGGAGTTAACATAGGCTTAGAGAATAGACAAACATGAAATAAATATAAAATCAATGTCATTAATATCAACTAGAATTTTGGAGGGTGTTAGATGAATTTCAACAGGGACTATAAAAATGCTTTACTTGAGGCACTGATGCTTTTTTTTTTTTTTTTAAAGATTTATTTATTTGTGCATACAGAGCTGGGGTATAGGCCAGAGGCTCAGAGGCGGCGAGAGGCTTCACCACAGACAGAGTGGGGAGCAGAACAGGCAGATCAATGAAGTGCACTGCTGAGGGGAGCATCCGGCGGGTCAGGAGAGGTCTGTCGCGCCATGTGGTCACCTCCAGGGCAGGCGGGGATCGAACTCATGTGGAAGTAGCTTTTAGCTTCTTAGTGCGTAGCTTTAACCCGCTGCGCCACCAGGGAGGGCCTAGGCACTGATGCATTTTAAATTGCCTCATGGTACTGTCTATTGTTCATAAATGCAGGCTGTTGTTGGCCTCAGAACTCACCCCCCACCCCAACTCCCTTCTCTTTAGACTGTTGTAGACCTATGGCTCTATGTCCTTGCCTTGTGTTACTGCAATTCCTGTAGTAACCACATGGGGGAGATTCTGGAAGAAATGAAGACTTGGTAACAGGTTACCATAACCAAGGTATGGTTATTATATGAACATTAGGATGCCAAAAAAGAGGCACTGTCTCCTCTGTGGTTCTTAGTCTTCTTGGGGGGGAGTAGCACAATGAAAGGTCAGGGATAGGTAGTGAGAACTGTTGAGAGCTAGTTGGCAGGCCAGCAAACTTTTGAAATGCCAGAGTAGACCATCTGAGCTTCCAGGAGTACCTTGACAGTTCAGTCTCCAAAGTTCTTGAAAGGCTCACAGGCCTTGATACTTAATAATGTCTGTAGGTCAGGACTCTAGAAGGACTGGAACAGATTCTTGCAGTAACTGTTGCGCCACCTATTGACCTTATAGATGCTGGAATTAGAGGAGGTCTGTGGAGCTGGGGGAATAGTTCTGATAACCAAAGGTGGGCATTGGCAAAGAGAAACTCGGGTGGAAAGGTTTTCAGTACTGTAACAAGTTATTCAACTGAATAAGGTGTGTGTTGGCTGAAAGTCAGTCTTGGGCTTAAGAACATCTCCCTTGCTTGGCAAGGATAGAACATCTTTCCACTGTGCCTTTCTTCTACTTCCAAAAGTTGTAGTATTTTTCCTATAAATTCAAGCCTACTTAGTAAAATGACAGTTATCATTTCTCACCTGAAAGTGAAATTTTTATGTCAATGGGTAGGAAAAATCAACACCAATTTTAACTTTTTTCCATGCTTTTATGATAGATATAAATGGGAGTAGAATCTTAAATGTGTTTATCATGGACATGAAATTTACCAATTGCTATGTCAAATAAACGTGCTACTGTAAAGGTTTTGTTTTCCCCTTTTGTCTTGATACAGTCTGAATGAATATATTAAATATTGACTTTCTAGTCCCTTACTGACCTTTTTTCTCTTCCACTCTAGAAGTAGGGCTTGTACTTTTGACATTTTGTTCCACAGAATGAGGAAAAAAATTGGTAGGCAAAGAGAAGTGGGTCTAGGTTTGAGATTACAAACTCTAAATCTATATATATATATACACAGCCTAATGCTGCATTATTGAGTGAAAGTGACTAGTGTGGTTTGGGAAAAAATAAGTGTGGGTAGGACCCTGTGACTATTTAGAGGGGGAAATAAAACCAAACAAACCCTCTATCATTAGTGACCACAAGTCATTTGCTATCCAGGGAAAATGGAAGTCCAATGTTGCCAAATATTCTAACTTTTCAAAGACCCAAAGCTATGAGTGTGTGTGTGTGTGTGGGTGGTGGGGGTGGCTGTGGGGGAAGGGTTAGATGGGGTATATGATGTGTGTGTATGTGAGAACTTGCCTGAGTTTATGAAGTATGCATGCCAAATAGAATTCTTCTGGGGTAATGGGTCTGTCTATCAGCTCAAGCAGGCCCACGGTAGGAGAATTTAATGGCATTGGAAGTAGAAGTGGAAATAGCTGTGGTGCATTTGTGGTGGAAATGCATGAGAGACAAAACAAAGGGACGTTCAGGACTGTATTTATGATGTTACTAACATACTCAAAAAACATCAGTGAAAGACAATGTTAAACAATGTTAAGTTAACAATGTTAACAATGTTAAGTTGCCCGACTATGTAATGTTGGCAGCGGCAACAGTATAGACTTGAATAATGTGGGAGACAGTTCTACAAGTGTCAAATCATGAGAAGAGGGACATTTCTTCTTTCCTCCCTCCATAAGTCCCCCACCTAGTAGGTTATACTGTTGTCTAACACTGTATCTGTTACTTGCCTCTTCTCCATTCAGGGTGGTATGGACACACTCTCAAAGGTTCATGTTTGCTGGGGTTTATCTAACCCCACTGGCCCAGTTCAGAAGCAGCACAGATTAAAAATAATGCTTACCTGCTTCCATTGAGGGACTGGCCAGGGAAGGGAAGGCATCTTGTTGACTACACTCATTTAGGAGTACTCTGAAGCATTTTCTGGGAACTGGTGTGCACCATCTTGGCAGCTTCCTTTTGCTGTGCTCCAGAGCACCAGTATTTTCCACAGAGCTTTACACAGGGCTGGTGCGATTCTAATGGCTACTTCCGGGAAATACCTCCTCATCTGGTTGTGATAGTCATTAGAACTTTCATTCATGGATCCCACAGTCCTCTAATCAATGGAGAACAGTTATTACCCTCTGGAACTCCATCTTTCTGTGAAGGGAGACTATCAGCCCAAATCATCCTGACAGGGGCTTAATGAGCAGGTTTCTAATTGAAACAAACATCTCAAGCTGACTGCAATCCTCTCAGGAACCTGAGAGGGTAGGTGTTCTCTTCACTCATTCTCTGCCACATTCCAGAATGCCACTCTTGCCTGGTGGGAAGTTTTACAGCATCTGGTGCCCTGGTTTTTGTGGACAGTGCTCTGGGGGCCTCCTTTAATTACTTGGCTCTCTTGCAAGAGGACCTGAATTTCTAGATCTCAGGGGAATGTGGTAATTAAAGGGAGGGTGCTTAGCAGGCTACTGCCCCTAGGGAACTCCACAGATGGCAACAGTGGCACACTCCCCAGGTTGTGAGGAAGGCTTGGAGGTTCTGTGGGGCAGGCTCCAGGCTTGGTACACAGTGGTCCAAGCCTGGAAAAGAAGGAAGTCATCAGTGATTGTCGGGAAAGGGCTGCCTGAAATGAAGCCAACACAAAAGAAACACAACTAAAACTTGGAAGTATTCCTGCTATATCTTCTGAGTGTCTGGATCTAGCCATCTATCAGGCAGATACTCCTGCCTACTGGTTATCTGAATCAGTAAATTCACCTTTACATTTTAGGTCAGGTTGATTCAAGTTCAACAGATAGCATCCTGCCAATACAATATTGATAGGATCTGATTCATAGTAGGAATTCAGTAGATAATCATCAAAGTCTCCTTTTTACAACATTTTTTTTGCACAAATGAACAATATATATGGGTGTGTGTAAATTGAATATGCACATGTGTATACATACGCGGGAAGAAAAAAAATCAAACTACCAGTTAGGTGACAAGCAATTTTATTTTGCAAAACAATCACTATACAGCAACAAATACATTTGCAAATTTTGATTGAAAAACATGAACTAACTACAACCAGCCATTGAAGAAATGCCTTTCTATGGTAACAGGCTCTAGAATTATCAGAAGAAAGAACCCCCCTCCCACCCCCCAGATTTGTAGTGGCATGTTGGAACCCTGGAATCCCAGCATACAGAGTATACTTTTTGTTGATTTTTTTTCTTTTTGCTAAAGTTGAAGTAGATTTCCATGATTGACATTTTCTGAGTTTAAAGATAAAACGTCTACACAGGGACTTGGTCTCAACCTACATACCCAGGTGTGTGGGTGTAAAAAAACAAACATTCATGCCAATCTCAGCATCTCAACCTTAAGAGGAATACCTAGAATTTTCCTTGCCCAGTTACAAATCTCTATTTTTATTTTTGCCTACTTAGATCATGAATAGTTTATTTTCCTCCTTTTTATGGCAAAAGAAATGATAAGCTATCATTGCAGCTATGCTGGAATCAACTACATTGAGATAATTATTTAAGTCATAATGACATGGCTGTATAATAGGCTGACAATTCCATTTCCTGCTGTATTACTACCTGAGGGTGTGGAGAGAGTCAGCTACCATCAGGCTATCCTTCCATTTAAAAACTTCTACCTTCAGTCATCTTCAACCTTACCTAGTCCATGCTACACAGGTGTCTTGTGTGTGGGTGGGATTTCAGCCCATCTCCCTGCTGGAACTCAGCAGGAGGATCCAGAGAGAGTTAGTTCTTCAATGAACAAGGCCTTTGAAACTCATCATGAACTCAGATCTTTCCTGCATCATTGTAAGGTACCCAATTACTGGTTGCAGGTGACCCAGAGAGAGTGAGTTCACTGGAGAGGTAGACCTTTTAACTCTTTACAGCTCTGGATTACTTATGTATCCTTAAACAGGTTCTCAATGGCTAAAGCCATAGAGAAACTGGCATTAGTAGATCGAGAATTGAAACTAGGAAGTTTCAACTTCTAGATCAGCGTATGGGTGTCCCCACAAAAGTGGTGTTCATAAAGCTTAATTTGTGTAGTTAATCTTAAAGAGTGAAGGCAAGATGGGCCCTATCCCTTATCTCCATAAGAAGACATTTAGCCTGTGTTTCTCTCTTTGACTAGTCTAAATGATTAGTTTCTCTCTGATACAGAATCACATTTCTATAAAGTACAAGGGCATCCATTGATCATAATTTTACTGTGATGTGAAGTAAACATTTATTTTGATTCCAATTCTGATAACTAAGTGTGGTAATTTTTATCTTTGCCATGTATTTGTAAGAAACTGAATTTTAATACGTGAAATGTGTACTTTTTTATAAAAAAATCAAAACCATGTTGAAAAACAAAGTCGTTTCACAAGTTAACTATTTTAAGTAAGTCCTACCTCCTTTCTAGATAACTTGAATTATTATTTAACACTATCAAACTTGTAAGAAAAGATCCAAAGTCTCCACACCTCACAGCTATTCTTCATTCTTCTATTTTTCTGGTGCACTTCAGGGGAAGCTGATGAAAAAAAAAATGCCTGGGTTGGTCAAATCAAACCTTAGAGCATTTATAAGGCAGAAAATAGATCTATTTTAATAGATCTATCCACAGTCTGATTCAGTAGTTTCTAACTTTAGAGCACTGTATAATATAAATGATTTATACATTGCTTCAGACATGTTCACGTGAAGAATGGTGTGCACATTTGTTCCTAGAGTTTCTTTTGCAGAAGTCACACTGGTTGCAATATCCCAGGCTCACAAAATAGCACCGTGTCTCTTGTCTTTGCAGCCCTTGGCTTCTTTCTTACATGCCACTGTACTCATGCCTCAGTACAGTCATCCTTCCCTCCTATCCAAGAACTGATTTGGCTCAAAGGAATCCAATGCCTGCCAGGGCACCTTTAGCACTTTGGATTCAACCTACCAGTCTTGAGCAAGAAAAAGAGCAGATAAAATACTAGAATGTGTCCATTTAGCGTGGTAACTTAACTTATTTAGGCCACTTACTATTTCATTGCTTATTCATAAGTCTAAGATGAACGACTGGTAAGGGGAATTGATTGATTTGTGATTTCTAGACTGTATATGAAGTCAGAATAGGATTCTCTACTGATTAATAATAAGCCACTACATAGAGTATAATGTAGGAGTCTTGAAAACATTGATTAGATATCTATATCTCAATGTTTTATAACTTCTCAAAATATTGCGTCTTTCCTTTCTGATTAAGGGAACTTTATTTTGGGTAAAGAAACCAAATGTCAGATACTGTTTGAAAAAATGGGATAACATGTCCCAAAGTTCTAACTTTAGATTCAACTTTAGCAAATGGGAAAAAAAATAAAAAGGTGGGGGGGGAAGAAATTTTGAAGAATCTGTTTCATGAATGGTTATAGGAATGAAATCCAAACTGTTGTGTAATTCAAAATGAGATAAACCCATAATCTTAAACCAACAATCTGCAAACCCTTTATGTATAACTGGAACCACCCCCACAAACTCCATGTTGGTGAAAGCAAAGAAAAATAAATTTTTCTAGCATCACGGGAGAGACTTGTATCTGGCACTAAAAGAGAATTACAGCTGAGTTGTTACAGAAAGCAACTTCATGCTAAAACTTTTTGTCTTTTTTAATGTATTTTTTTTTAACTAGGGAACAAACCCTGCTAACATCTACTTTCACATACCCTAAAATTGCAACACCAAAGGGTGCAGGAGACACAGATACTGTGAATAAGGAAGTATAATATTCAAGTATATGAGGAAGTATCACAAATGGCCACAGAGAAATATATATATATTTATATCTATAATACTGTATCAAACAGATGGAAAGGGGGTGTGAAACTGGTAGTGTGGACACAAATCTAGCTGATCAACTGACATTCTAATCAGACACGAGTCCATCCTAATGAAAGTGCTTCATTCCTAAGAGATGCACTTGTATACCACTTCCTCAACCACAGCTCCAATGCTTTGTAACTATTTTTAATTAGTTAAATAATTTATTGGATTGATTTATACTCTGCTATAATTATCCAGGTCCCAAATGTTAATAACTTAATTGAATCTTTCTTCCCATTTATACAAAATAACACTTTTAAAAAAACTTATTTCTTACATGCTCTTCCCATCCTGCAATCAGACTCCTTGATTTAATTTAACCTGTAAATAAGTTACAATGGGCAGTTTTTACCTTTTCACCCAGCAACAGAATAGTGAAAAAAGCAGCTTGGATTTTAACAAGGCCTTTCAGAATGTAGTGGATAGCCTTCAGGCACATGAAAGGTAAAAATGCAATTTTTGAAATAATAATATTCCATGCAAAACAGAGCAAAATAAAAATAACTGTCCAATTGTACTCATGTAAAGCCAGTGTCTTCTTGTTGCAAATGGAAATCAAGTCAGTTTCTGCAAATACTAATCGATTTTTTTTTTATAAAATTGTAACAATTACTACAGTTTGGGAATGATATTATTTATTTTATGGTTTGTAAAGAATGAATATAACACCTGCTCAGAGCCCACTCCTGCCAAGAGCTCATGCCTAAATATGATTACATCGATGCTAAATGAGAAATATTCACAAGCCCTGCTTAGCAAGTGCAGCAGTGACATCCTCCGCCAAGGTGGCAAGCTGAGGGGATTCCAGTAGGTTGATGCTGCCCGAAGAGGAGACGTTGCTGAGTCGTCGGGGGGATGCCACGCTGGATCTGCCCGGAGACTGCGTGATGATCTCAGCCCCGTGATCCACGCGCGCCTTTGCATGCTCTCTGAAATTCAACTTTTGGCTGTCAATCTGTTCAAGATAAACATCAGTCCTTGTTAACTCAAGCATCTCATCTGATCGTTAGCACTTTCTCTCGACCCAAGGGGAGGTATTAATGTCACTTCTATTCAGCTCTGCCATCCCTACTGCTGTACATTCAAGTCTTCAACTTGAGGTACAGTTTGAAGAAGAGTATTTCAGAGGGTTTAAAGAGTGGCTTATGACCTCGGTGCTTACCTTGACATTACCACCTCCAGGCACGTGGTGAGCATTGTCAAGTGAACCAACTTTAGCCTGAGCCTTTTCTTTGAAATCCAGTTTAACACTCTCAATTTTCACACGCCCACCACCTATGGAAGAGAAAGGCTTTTAAATGCTCTGCAAAATTAAATTTTTTATTTGCGGTGATTGTTTTTCAAAAATGACTGCAGTAGACAGACAACTGCAAACTTCCAAGTTAACTAACTACTATCCTTCCCATCATGGATGTGAAAGGAATCTCTAAGAATTACTAGTACCCATTTCTCTATACCATCCAGGATAATAACATTTTTTAATATCATTACATGGATTTCTTTACATATTAATATCTTTTTTTCTGTATGTCTAATCTATCAGAGGAATATTCCTTAAATGTACAACAAAAACTCTGAAAATACCCTATTGTATGTATCTCTTCTAGAGTTTGGAACATTTTAGTCTCTTATTCCTAAGGGGACAAATTAAATTGAAATAAAGTTTTTATTATTCCTCATGGTGAGAGGTCACTTGTCCCAAAGCTTAGATGTGGGGCACATAGCAGTACGATGATGCCCTTTCCAGAAATGAAGCTGGAGGCCCTGTGACAGCGGAGGCACCTTATCACCGTTCAGCGCAGTCTCCCTAGCTCTGCTTGCCTTTCTCAGGCTCATAAATGCAGGGACTTCCACATGGAGTTCTTTGTCCTTTAGCCTCTCCTGAGTGTCTGATAATGCGTTTTACCTGAAAAGAAGCATTTTATGTGGGGCTCACATGTTGGGTATGAAGGTATTAGCATGCTTCATAAAACATATCTTGCTTAGTGGCTGGAGAAAGTTGAGCTTTCAATTAGAAGAGATTAATCCTTTTGGGGTTTTACTTTGTAATTTTTGGTATTTTGGTGTCTTTACCTATAGACATCAAAGAGATTTGTTTTCACTCTCATTAGTAGCTTGGTTTTGATTTACATGTTTTCTGGAAGGCTGGGGTAAGCAATGTTACACTCTACATTGCCTTTCTTTTGGGATTTTGATTTGGAAAATAAACAAACAATACTCCTGAAGGACTCTATTGAAACATGGAGTGATTTAGAAATTTTGGAGTCTTGATGTTTATGCATCTTTGTAGATCAAAGAGAAAGTTCTGTTGAGACTTCAAAGATGTCTTAAGCCTCATGGTGTTTTTCTCATGTAATATGTAGACATTTATTATAATACCCAACTACCTGATCCGTGGCCCCCCTGAAATTATTTGATGTTATTAGCTTACATTTAGGATTGCACTCATTCTTCTCCTGAAGGCTTAGGTTATTTAATTCATACTTACAAGAAATTCGTATGTCATTGTCCTTCTTTCAATATTTGTACTTTATGTGGGCCTCACATGTTGGGTATGAAGATATTAGCATGATTCATAAAACATATCTTGCTTAAAGTTGAGCCTTCAATTAGATGAGATTAATCCCCTTGGGGTTTTACTTTGTAATTTTTGGTAGCCTTTGATTGGAAATTGCCTGCTTATGCTTTCATTCCTGATTATTGCTGTCTCAATACAGCCCTATTGAATTTTTGTTTAATCATTTTAAGAGAGATGAACAATAATGTATATTATTTTGAGTCAGTACATACTTTTAATAGGAAGCTTAAGAAATCTATTTCAGTTGAGTTCCTACTAGAAAGTTCTATAAAACTTTTAGAGAAGCTCTTTTGAAATCAGGAATCAGTGCCTGTTGTACTGGAGAATTCTGGTACCCATCAGTAGTAGTAACGGCGTGAGACTGTAATTGTTACTAAGCTTCGTTTGTCCCAAAGTAAGGTTAGTATGTCCAGATATTTTAATTTGTATCTTCATTAATTTTTTTCCTTAGATTTTCCACATTCCAAAGTAAGTCTGTGAAAAGCTTGCTGTTGTCAAGAAACAATGTGCTAACACTTTGTGAATTTAGACATTTGATTTGGTTACTACAAAAATAAGAGCTAGATTTAGAAATAGGTGGGAATACATGACAATGGTCTTTTCTTACCCATATATCATATAAAGAAAACTTCCTTACTTATAAGGATTTTTCTGTGCATTTGACTATTTAATACCTGGAATTAAAGAAACCATGTTTACTTTTGTATTCTAAAAGAAAAGAACCAATGTGGTTACCAAACTCAAGCTGACATGGCAGGACAAAGTCAAGTAAGTGTAGAATTGACTCGGGGACCCTGGCAGAGTGGCGCTACCCAGCAGCTGCCCTGACTGCTCAGCCAGTTCATGGATGGAAGAGAAGCTAATTCTAAGGCAGCACTTCTGAAACTATTAATGGAGATGCCATATATTCAGGTTCCAATTCCTTTGTCTAAGTAAAACTTGATTTCCAGGCATGATTCAGAGGTACTTGCTATTTGAAATTTGGTCTACCTATCTTTGCCAACTTTGATATATGAAGTTGTATCAAATATATAAATTCTTTGATAATCTTTCTAATCAGAAATCCTGTTAAACTTTGTTGCTCTTAAGCTTTCTTTCTGATAATATTTGAAACAATTACTTGTGGAGATAACCTATTACCCAGTTTAATTAAGATGCCAAGACAAATTGTTAAAACTGCTTGTCTCCTCTGTTCTTCCATCACTCAATGATATATATAAACATAAATATATCACAAATTTGAAAGCTGTCTTCTGTTTCCATTATGGAGGTAGAACTTACCCAAAATACATAAGACATAGTACTCATAATTCATTATATATGACAGTTATAATTTAGAGGAAAATTTCCAGTAGGTATGAATATAAATTCAACTCTAGAACACTAGTTCTATGAGCTATTGTAGAAAAACAAGATGGTCAAATAAGTTGAAAAATCATTGCATTTTTCTTAAAGTTCACATTATGTTTTGACCTACTTAAAAGATCTGAAGTGTGTGTGTGACACACATATACAATTTCTTCAGTTTTGCTAAAACACAAACCTTACTTCACATAATGTAGAGAAACAATTTCATGAAAATTCTTTGGAAATGCTATTTTGAGTCCATGTAATTATGTATGAACATCTGGCCCAATTATTCTATAGGCACGTTGAGTATATGAAATAAATTTATTTTATATATATTAAATTTTAACTTGCCCTATGATACAGTCTATTGATAGCATTGAGTTTACCTGTCCAAAGGACAATGCCTTGAAATTTCCAACTGAACAATATTGTTAATTTATTGAAACCAATTTAATGTTTCTCAAATTATTAAAAAGGATTTCATTACCTGGCCTGTGGCGGATGTTCTTCAGAGACCCACATTTGGATGTCACATGACTTAAGTCTATCTTCTTGGTAACAATCTGTACCTGTGTGAACCATATAAAATATGTTTTAAATAGCATTGACATTGACAAATCTCAAAGCTCATACACAAAATCTAAAAGCATATTCAAACTCCTGATACCCAGCAGCATTCAAAAACTCAAACTAAGGTATACACACACACACACACCGAGGAAGATATAATCTCCCTTATTTTCCCTCCCCTCTAACATATTTGATAAGAAGGAGCCAAGCGAAAGAAAATCCTAGAAGAGAAGATTTTATTAGTAGAGACCAGATCATGCCACCAGGGACAGAAACTTCTAGATTAATATAGCAAGCTTCTAATCAGAGAAATTAAGCCATATTATGTTAAACTTTTTCATAAGCAAAGAGCCAAGCTAAGAGATGAATTATTCTTGAAAGTGATTTTTACATAAAAGTGACCAACACTGCCTATAATTACAAGAATACTAACATTGCTTTAATGTATAAGAAGGAAGGAAGCTCTAAACACATTTTCCTAAAAATATTATCATACTTTTGCTAAGTGGAACTTACACATTGAATTATAAAATGACAGCAACTGTCTTTTCTACTTTATACTTCACTGAAAACATTTACTTTCCCAATATTTGAAACAGTGCTGCTCCAGGTGTGACCCATTGCCCATTTGTTTGGGGATTACCAAAACACCAAGGAAATAGGTTCAGGGAACCTGTACACTTGAGGAAAGTTTAAGATTATTGTTATGGAGATTGGAAGCTCTACTACTTTAAGATCTTTATCCTTTTCCAGCTTGGTGTTTTGACCAGAGGTATCTACAGTAGAATTCACTGGGTGCACTCTCCAATTCTCAACATTATTTACCACAACTGAGACTGTGTTTGTGAGATGGCTATGTGGGGTATACCCTTAGTCAGGGCAACATGGAGGAGGGCACCAGGTCAGTGTACATATTGATCCTGAGGTTTTGCTCCGCACCCTGCATGAAGCCCAGTAAACACTGCTGTGGATTTCCCATGACAGAGACATCTTTGTACCCAGTGGAGTTACTCTGAGCGTCAGGTGACAGCTGTTGGCAGAAGGCACTCGCTTATCTCCCTTTTCACAGCGTGACTCCATCTCTTCCCAGTTGAAGAGCAAGGAGCCAAAAGCCACTCTACATGTGAGGATTCTGCGGTTGATCCCCTACAACATACTTGAGTTATAAAAGACCACCAGGACCTGACATTTAAATGAAAGGATCTGCAGAATAGAATCAGCCTGGTTCATCTTTTTTTATGATCCATATTTTATGAAAAGCCATGCTGACATGCTTACTTGAATTTGAGTGTATCTTTTTCTACTTAGCATACATTTAGGCAACATAGATTCTTATTACTGTTCCTCTTATAGGATATTATTTTGACTCAATGCAAGGGACAGGAAAAATCTTATCAAGATAAGTACACACTGGGACCTGAATCCCTTGATTATGAATCATACATGAATCATGTTTCACCAGTTCTGTATCATTGCAAATGATACCTTAACTCTCATAAATAGTGAAGCACTTTGGATACTTCAAGTATATCAGTCTTTGGTCCAAGAGTCATTTAAATGAATTAAATTAAGTGTGTATTCTTATGATTTTCACGTAGCCAAGAGGAAGTACTGTGAAGTCAAAGGCTAGAGGACAAAGTTGTTAAGTAAAGTGGGTCTGCCATCCTCCTAAAAACCATGTTGCATTCCAGTAAGGTCTCTTTCCTTAATTGAAAGCATGAAATTGATTGTGGCTCTTACAGGGGATAGGAAGCCATTACTGAAAGTGCAAAGCCAATAAGTGCCCAGACCAGGTGGCCATGTGGAGCAGCAAGGAGAAGGGAGGAGTGTGCTGGTAGGAAGGCAGAAAAGAGACAGGGTGCTGGCTTTGCAGGTGACTCCACGCAATCAGGACTGTTTTCTAGAAGCTTCTACTTACATTTCCGCCCCCAGCAGAATGTTTGATGTTATCCTTGGAACCACATCTGGACTGAACTTTGCTAAAATCGGTCTTCTTGTTTAAAATTCTAACCTAAAAGGAATTGGAGGTAATTTCACTGCACATTTGTCTTTCAAGATACTGACTATTAGGAACCAGAGTGGTCATCCACCTACATAATCATTTTATAGAAAAAAACTAACACTGGAACTGACGAGCAGATATATCATATAACTATGAGTCTCTTTCCCAGTGCACCCCCAAGGGACAAAGGTGTAATCTGGAAAGAATTAGAGGGATAGAAAAGTAAAACTTGATCATCCATGGAAAAGGCTTTCAATATTGTGGGCAATGTTGGGACTAGGTCCACTCTGGGAGGTTCAACAGTACACAGCTCAGTCCAGGATCCTGAAGAATATGCCATTGCTCTGGCTGCCTTACCCTTCAGTATCAACTATCAGTGAATTATAAGCCACATCATACACTGAACTCCACTGTATCATTGGTCCACAGTTCAGAGGTCTGGCTCACAACTGGTGTAAGGAGATGCCATAGTTGAGTGTTCTCATTCATCCCTTTCTGGTTTAGCTGACTTATATTAGGTCATGTAGAGGCTGTTCAGGTCTTAGTTGGGTTCCAGCAGACTTGAAATTATCTGTTTTTTTTTTTTTTTTTTCCAGGAAATGTAGTTAGCATTTGTCTTAAAGACAGCAGTAACTTCAGGTCTGTAAATAAGTTCTTCTGGTTTAATGTAATGTGCAAAGTAATAACTCCAGTGATATCTTTTGTATATCTTTGGATTTGCATGATTTGGAGAGTAGATAATCAATGGAAGCATGGAGAGAAATCCATGTTTTTGTTATCATTTGTTTGTTTTGTTTTATTTTGACATAACTACTACACTTTCAGCCTCCCCAATAGTTGAAGAGAAATTATATTTTCAATGTTTTAGAAGACAGTTTACTCTTTATTAAAAACCATACTAATAAATTTATCCTAGAAACGTAGGCTTATAGAATGGCATCAAATCTCTTGATATTTGCAAAACAGTCAAAAATTCGAGGATATTGCAATCCTATTTTTAAACTAGGCAAAGCTTACATTGTCAAACCTGCCTAACATTGACAAGCTAGGTTGTTCTTTAGGGAAACATCACTGACAGTTCTCATGGGCAGCCCAAGGGAATGGACCTCTTGTCAAAAATCTGAATTCAGAAGACATGATGACTGGGAGGCTCTAAGACATTAACAAAAATTCCATTTTAAAGAAAGGGAGACTATCACAGAGTCTACATGTAACACAGTGTGCTTGTGACACTATGGGCATCACAGAAACATCAGATGCAGATGTCACGTCAATAAGTCATTACAGCACAAATCTCATAGATAGATAAATTATTTGTAGAAAGTCAATGACTTTGTGTATTATTACTACTAATAATACTCTTAGTTATTCTCCATGAAAATCTAACTACTTCAACAATGAAGTAGAATTAATTTTTCTACTCTTCAGGCACATACAAGCACTCATATTTCATTTACAAATTTTAACCTAGAGAACATTATACCACTCAAGTGACTCATTACCAAGTGGTCAAAAGTCAAATGTTAAATCTGATTCATTTTGTGCAGAAATGGAGATTCCAAACTCAGTTGCTCAAATTTGTTTGATGCTAACATTTAATCAGTTGTTTGACAATTGTTATGATTTCCAAAACAAATGTTTCAGACTAAGAGGGATTGCATACATTGCCAACAGAATTCAGAAACAATTTAGATCTTACTAAAATGGAAAAGTTGATTCTGTGAATTTTTCCCTGACTTTATAGAGTCCTAGATTTTTTAGTGAAGCTACTAGTTGACACTTAACCTCTCTCTTCTCAATGTAGAATGTGAGTAGAGCTTTGCCATGCATGAAGGGCATGCTATTGCATATTTCCATTTTTGCAATAGCTTCACAGTTATCACTTTTGTCAACAATAAGGCAAAGTGTGGCGTGATGGTGGCTATAACAGAAACATAACTTTGGGCAGTGGATACTGATGTTCACCAAGATTTAGGCTTTAGCTCCACTGACTGCACCTGAACACCCTAGGCCCAGTCTGTATGACTCATGTTATCTTAGCAAAGTTACAAATACTTCACAGCAAGAGCACTAGTACCATTTGCAAGTAATTGACATCTTAAGAGTTATTTCCACAAATCCAACAGGCCTCAGAAACCATTACATAAAACAGAAAAGCAGATGTCTATCTGAATGAAAAAGGCTTTATTTTCTTATTAAAGAGTTCAGTTTTAACTCTCTGTATTCTACAAACAGATGCAAACATAGTTACTTCCTTTGTGAAGGAACTTCATTAAACTTTGTTTTCCTGAAAATGGTTTTCAAGGGAAAATGAATTAACATTTGAGAGACTGCATAGAAAAAATATGATAAACTTGAATTTGACAAATAAGCTAAGTTTTACATATTCAAAAAATGAAGGAAAGATAGTTGAATAATCATTATCCAAGAATACTGCAAAAACACATTTGAATCTGCTAATTTCTTTAACTATTTTTTTTTTAAACTTGCACAATGAATACAAATAGTGATTTGAAAGAGCATGATTGTGTTTTCTTCTGCACACTTTGCAGGGGATGTGAAATGGATTATTATCCAATGATGGGTGAATGCTAAAACTGCACCTTGGTCAAAAATTTCCTAAGCTTCCTATTTCCTATTAAATGCATCAAAAAATTTTGGCCAGACAACCAGTGTTCAAAAATTCTCATTTTTGAGAACTTTGTTACCCTCTTAATACTTCACATTTTGGTAAGGCTTTACATTTCATACTTGAAGGACACTTTTATAGTGTCAAGTTCATAGCCAGGCTTACTTGACTAATGTTTCTCTCTCTCTAGAATGCCCTTATTGCAAGCTGTTCTCATACCCTTGTTTGGCTTGTACTATTCATCTGAATAGTAAACAAAAAGAGACCCTACTGTTCTCAAATTTGTAAACCCCCCAAATAATAGTTCCCCAGTTAAAATTGTTATTTGTGAAATCTACCTGTAGGACTTTTCATTATCCTACAAAAGTTACTTAAATTAGAGTATGAAAGTTCAATTGCATAAAGACAGGGTCTCTGACATCAAGGAGTTTTCATTTTGAGATAATTATGACTTTGATAGAAAAAATACTGTCAGTATAATAGAATATATTTCAGTGAACAGTTTTTCTTCATGCTGGTTTGATTGACAGTATTTAAAAATTCCTGGGGGTATTTTATTACTCCTCTTGTTTATATTTATAGCCCTAGGGAGATGGAAAGAAATGGTTTGGAAAGAACTTAACATCAAGTAAGACATAGGAGAAGACAAGCAAAATCCTCCATTATGCTTAGATATTAAAGACCATGACTTGTTATTTCTCATCCCCCTCTTATCTTGGAGTATCTAGCAGAATCTTTTATCTGATGAAAGATAAATGAGAACAATAAAAATAAGCTTGTAAAGTGTATAGATTTGGCCACATGTTAATAGTAGTCAGTAGATTTTCAGTCTGCACTATTATACAATGTGTAAAAAAAATTCTGCCCTACTGAAAATGCTTAGTTGCCTCCAGAATAACTTCATTTTCTTTGAATATAAATTTGAAAGTGAAGAAGTAAAATAAAATTGAAGGCAACTAATTTAAGATAGGATGGAAAAGGTCTAAATGAAGGATCAGAACAATACCTAAAATTTTATAAGAAGATATAAGTAATACTTCTTTCCAGATTTACTCATTTTATTCCTCTCCTTCTCTTTGAGGTACTCCCTTTCTTCCAACTGTACTTTTTCTATTTCAGAAAAACTGCTTTTAAACACATCTTACTCTATTAGCACAGATATTTAGGGAGTCTATCAGAATGCCTAAATACATGTTTTTGATTAGTTGTAATGCAAAAATTTTAATTGTACTCAAAGTAGAACTACAGATTCATGATCTTAACCTCACAATCTATTTAACTGAGATAGTACTATTAAAGCACACCATTTTGTTGTTTCTATTCTACAAATAAAATACGTGACCAGAGAGGTTAGTGTCTAATATCACATAATAATTTAATAGAAAAGTTAGACCAAGAAATCAGCTCTTATATCCCAGTCCAATATTCTTTGAAGGAAAACCTACCATGGTTCAAACATGTGAAGTTTCTTTATATAATAAATATTGTGGTATTAGATCATTCACCATCATTCAACAAGTTATTAGAAGACTGCACCTCTCCATGCATATTGTTACTACATTGATTCAACTTTCACTCAACAACTCTTTATTGAGTACCTAGTATGTGCTGGACCCTGAAGATGAGTAGGATCTTATCATCCTTGATTTTATGGAGTTTATGGTCTAGTGAGATAAGGTAGACATTAAATAACCAATTGTACAATGGAATGTTAATTTCAAATGCTGTGAGAATACCAGAGAACAAACAGATTCATCAAAACCCATAAACAGCTATTGAGAGACTTTGACAAGAGATTATGTATCCTGTGTTAGGGTACTGCATAGTAGACTAAGAAAAATGGGTAGATTTAAATGTAATTTTAGGCACAAAATCAGATGCCCAGGATAGGTAATGGGGAAAAAAGGGAGATGAAAAGATAACTCTTAGATCTTCTTATTTAGCAATACTGGAGTATTATTTGAGAAGGTAAAATACTATTTTTTAAATTAGAAATTTAATGCAAACTTTGTACTCTCAAAGATCTATGTGGTATTTGGCCACACTCATGCTCGTGTTCTTCCTAAAACCTACCAGGTTCCACCTGACGGTCTTTTGATGTGTTTTCCCCTACCTAACATGTTCTTTCCCAGTTGTTCACGTGGCTTACTTCTCTACTACCTTGTAGTCTTTACCTAGAATACAGCATGGCACAAAATAGATACTCAGCAAATATCTCTTGAATAAATGACAGAATAAATGAGTGTACAACTTTTGAGTTTCTGGTGCTACTTAAAATAGAAGAGAGCTTACCATATTATGTTAAGATGACAAAGTTGGTTTTAGAATATTTCATTATTGACCCTTGATATTATACATAGGAACCTGAAAACTTAGTTACCTATACTTAACTTCAAAACTTGCATTTTAAACATTATTTTAAAAAGTCTTGAAAGAATACAAAATTAGGAGGAAGATGCAACATAATCTTCTAAAATGAATAGTCTGAACTTTTCAATAGTGTATTAATAAGTAATTGATTGCGTTAATCTATTTCATATACACATTATAAAAGTTCAGAAATTTCAAATTTAAATTTTAAAGTGATTGGGTCAGCTGACCTGAATATGACTGGCTGTTTTATGAATGAAGCATAAGTGTGCAGCTGGCAAAGCAATCAATCAAAGCCACAGACAGACCTTGCAGAGATTAAGAGCTACCTACCACCCTATACAACAAGCTCGAATAAAAACAATTTTAGTGAAACCAATTCTCACATGAGTACAACTATACTTTCTATACTGATATTCCTAAGGCTGAGATTAAAAAACAAGAATCCTGCCAAAACATGTAGGAGTATTTATTGAGTACTTATTTTGTGCCATTCTGTAGGAGTAGCTATAAATCAAAAAACCTATAAAAAACCTCATTCATCATTAGGAAATAAAGGAAATATAGGAACACCATTCAATAGATTGTTGCCTACATTTTTTTATGCCATGCACTTAAAGAAACTTTCTTTTTCTACCTTTGTTTAAATAATGTTGCTAAGTTCCTAGAAAATTCACTGTGTCTTCAACATTTAGATTTAGTATAGATTGGAATGCTAACTATTTAAGAAATTTCAAATGAATGACTTAATAAGATTGTTTTACTTATGCCTTGAGTTAAATTAACCAAATTTACTATCTACAAAACATTCAGGGTTGCAAATTTTTTTTTTCCAGCAGAATGAATTTTGGTTTTAGCTGAAAAGATTAAGTTTATTGCTGTCTGTTAAGCTCCTCATATCTTCAGCTAGCTGATCTATTCCATTAGGCCTGGCTTTGACTCACTGAACTGAGCCACTGGGCTGAGCATCTTTGCCAGTAGAAAATTTTATGTTAGCAGATGAGATAGTAAGTGATAAGTGAAAACTTATACATAAGGAAGAACAATAAATGTGCAAGTTGGGGACAAATAATAAAATTCTCTACTAAGGGAGTTACTGAATCGCCAACACAAATGCATATTTTATTAAACATTTTCTCCCCCAATTTTTAGTTATTGTATATACTTGGGAAAAAATAATAATACATTTAAAATAAAATTATTTACATACAGTCTAAATTTGGTGACAATAAAGTCAGGTGAACTGAACTGAGGTGCTATCTATAAATTTATTCCCATTTTCATGAACAAGAATTTGAGGTCATGTTTTCCTCAGTACTAAAGACCACCTAGCTTTATTATAAAACATGGAACATATCAGTATATTCTAATCTGCTTCACGAATTCTGGATTGGTCATTGTCTGTTCAAATATACTAATAGAATCAATTTACAGCTGGGAACCATACTGATGTGGCTTCGTTTTCCTAAATAATGTCTATTTGTGGGTTCTTAGTCACATAATAAGGTCTCTAATTCTAAGATGTTTTATCATAAAAAAGAAAACAATCTAGACAAAGTCTCCAGTTGAGTATGTACAGAGAAGGCTCCCTGTCCATTTCCTGCATCTGAGATCATACACTGTAAGGAAGCTGTTGTCAGAGTGGTATTAAAGTACCAAGCAACATATTTTTCCTACAAAGAGAGATCAATTGCAGGGCATCTCAATTTCTGAATCCATTTCCCCCTCTAATTTAGATTCGTCAGTGTTCTCTATCACAAAGTAGAGGGCAAATCTCTTTCACCTTTTTCTTATTTTGGTCAGAAAATATATCCTATTTCTTTAACAAAAATCATTTCATAACTACTCTTGTGTATTTTTCAAGTTGAGATGGGTAATTCTGTAACAGGTTAACACTTGCTTTATGGGAGATGAGATTTTATTCAAATGACAGACACTGTGATTTTGAGACTACTTTTGTTCTCTGTAATTTTTGTGTATCTGTCTTTACGTTAAGGAATTACCACAAACTCTTGGGCAGTTTGGAATTCATCTCAAAAGAATATGTATTTATGTCAATATAATGTATTGCCTCATCTAGGAGAGATCAAGTAAAACTAGATATCAAATATTCACAACCAGATATGATATGAAAGCAGAAAGACAACATAAAATATCTCCATATTTTTTAGGTTGGTTTAAACTTAGTGATTCCAGCAAGTCAGAGGCTAAAAGCTCTCTTTTCGTCTCTCTACATTGAAGAGTCCTTTAAATAAAGAAAATCTTACATTGTAAATGTCTATGTCAGATGTTATCAATAATTATTAATTTTTCATTAAATTTTCTCCTGTCTATAGAATATCTTGAAAATTATGTATATTCCTTAATAGTTTCAGAAAGAAACATATTAATATTTTCTAGATTATAGGCAAGTAAAGTCTAGCATACCAGGATATGGACATATTAGTAAAAAAAGAACTGGTCTCAAATATAGATAGTAGTTACTCTATTTTTAGGAATGACTCACTAAAAACTAAATGAAAAAATTTTAAATTGTTACTAAATTGATTTGATTCAACAGCCTACATATTGCATGTATGTATTCATCAATATAAAAATATATTTGGATATTTTCAAAAAGTCCAAAATATTTCCTCCTTTTGAATGTTAAAAACCTCGAGTATAAGAATAGTATGATTTTGGGAATCACAGGCTTAAATTAGTTAGAATTTGAGGTTATGGGACTCAAAATTATACAGAATGGGGCTCATTTTTAATAACTTTATTCCTATGAAAGTGTATCATTCTGTCATTAAAGTATTACAGAATATTCATTTTTTTAGACTATTCATTTTTTTTAAAGAACACAAGAGTCCTTCCTCCCCTCCTTTAGTTGAATTTCCTTAACTCTTTAGGCTTTCTTGAACAGAATTACAATAAAACAGAAGTTTGTTGCTTAAAGGAAGGCATACCAGTCAATTCTCATTTTAATAGTGAGTGTGAGTTCTTGAGAGATGCACATTATAACAAAATCTTTCTAAACCTGCCTGAAAATAATTTTTCTCTTCATGAAGAAAGAACACTAGAAATCATCTGTGGAAAATATGAGAGAAGAAAGAGTGACAGTGAGAATACTGAGGTCAAAAGAAAAGCTTTCCTTAAATAAGACAGAAATGTGTACATGTACAAAGGAAATTATTGCTATTTCATCTTTCTCTCTCTTTATCACTTCAAAGGCAAGAAGAGTTGAACTACCCCAGGTATAGTTTAATATCCACAGGAGAAATATTAAATATTTATCAATCTTTTCCCAGATTAATTGCTTTGTTCAAACATACAGTGTATAAGCAAAATTAAGACTGTGGTAAACTGTCGGGGTCTGACCCTGATCATGGGCTTTTCGAGGGCAGGGCCTTTAGGTGGGAGCTAGTCGGCGAACAGAGATTTCTAAAGAGGGAAAAAGGGGAGCAGGTGTGAGGAAGACAGGGGATCGGAGTTGGGTGCAAGCCTTCCTCGTGCCCGCTCCTCTTTTCTCTTCTTTAGAAATCTCTGCTGGCTGACACTGCTCCCACCTAACGGCCCTGCCCTCTGAAAGCCTGTGATGGGGTCAGTCTCTGACAGTAAACTCAAGCTCTTTGGTTAAAAAATGGTGTGCATCCACGGGTGATTTGGTGATGGGAAACCCAAGGGGATTACAATTGAGATGAAAAGAAAAAAAAGGTACAAAATGATGTAAAAATAAACTTTTGTAAAACAAAAAAAAAATGGTGTGCATCCTTCATTTGTTCTATAGCTGAACTTAAGAGTCAATAGGTAGAATTTCATTCATAAGTCTATTCCATACAACTATGATAAAACAGAAGTTTTGATATAATAATTTTATTCATTACACCATTCATTTAGAGCTCTTTTTTATAAATATGAATATCTGCCCTTTGCAATGCTTCAATAATAACAATCAGAGAGGAAAATTGGTGAGCCATACTCTGATTTTGTAGTCTACATGGGCAACTGTTTGACAGTGCCATAGGGATTACTTGGGGAAGAATGGAAGAGATAAAAATAGAATTGTAAAAAGTCAAATGAACTCACTATCAGGATCTAAAACAACATTCAAATACTCTACAAAAATGTCACTTTGATCTCTTAAATAGGTCACAAGATAATAGAGATACATTCGGAAAAGAGCTCTAAGGCAAAGATGAAAAGGTTCTTATATATGGTGAAATCATATTTCATTTACTAATAACCAGAAGGAATGGACAAGTTATGTGATTTTCACTATATTTTATAAGCTAGCTTTCACACATAAGGTACAAACTCTTAGCAATGGATCATAACCAGTAATGTTAACACTTCTAACTCCCTTTTATTATAAGAATTTTTAGAATATAATATGAGGAATCCAACATGAACGTTCATGAGAATTACTTGTGGCAGCAAATAAGTGTTCATGTGATTCTTACCTGCCCCCCTTTAGGCTGGTATTTGATGTTGTCTGTGGATCCTATTTTGGATTTGACATTCTTCAGGTCTGGCAGTGGTTGGTTAATAAGTCGAAGCTGCTTGGGAGTAGCAGGGGATTTGGGAGGTGTACGTATGATAGCGACTTTCTTCTCACTGGGTACCAAGATGGCAGATTTGGGGGTTCCTGGTGTGTGTGGGGTCCTGGGATAGCTAGGGGTTCCAGGAGTGCCCGGTGTGCGTGAAGAATAGCTTGGTGGGGTGCCAGGCGTGATGGCGGTTGACCCAGGGGTAGTAGGAGTTGAAGTACCACTTTTTCCTGTTCTGCGAATTGGCTCTGACCCTATATTGACAAAGAAAATCAAAACAAAATTACAGCATCAATTAGAAAGTTCACCTTGGCATCCCTTTTCCTATGGGTTGTTACAAATAGTAGTGCATTAAATTTCTAAAGTGTTTAGAATGCTGTTATAAATGATAACATTTAAAAAAGTGAGAGTCTCCTTTTTTAGACTGACAACCTGGTGACCTTCTTTTGAAAGTCCATTGCTGCAAATGCAAGGATAAGACTTGGGCTTTCTCGATTATTTATTCATAACCCTCATGAGGAATGTGTCAAAACATATTCTTGACTTGTTTCATTAATAGGGCACAGGTCTGGCCTTTATGTTTTGCTTTTTTTAAATTTGATTTATGATCAATTTACAAAGCCAGCCCCTAAAACACATACAACGATAAAAAACAGCATTACCTCAATAAAAATAATTGGATATAAAACATACAATTCTGCACTTAAATGTTTATTGTGGGATGTTTCCTGAAGACTCCTTGAATGATAAGTGGAACATTATTTCTCCTGTATAATAAGTTCATTCTGACATCTAGTTATACATGTAACAAAATATTGACTCCTGTCAAAAGTTATTTACTGAGTTTCATTTCATTGTTACTCCTGTGGCTTTTATAGGAACACTACAAACTGCAAATGTCTTTATGAGAAGCTGTTTAATTATGCCAGGAATTGTTTTATTTATCATGTAATTCCTTTGTTAAGGAAATTTGTCTCAGCTCTTAATATGTAAAAAAAAAAATCTCTATCCTTATATAAATAGAACATTTTAACCATATATTCAAAGTGAACCTAAACTTGAAAGTTTTCTCCCATACTTTCATTACTGACTTTTAGTTTGGGGTCAAATCAATAATCACTTAGTATTAGTAAGACAGGATATGCTGAGAAACACATCTTTGCTACAACTTGCTTTTAACCTCATCTTATTAGTTAAGTCTGTTCCCTCTATATCTAGCATTGATGGCTTTCATAGTGCCTGGACCCAACTGAAACTTAAACTTTTCTTTAAAATTTTAATTAATTAGCTAGTTAATTAATTTATCATGTGTTAAGGTAGCTTTCTACTTCATGGAGACTGAACTGAAGCAGTAGTTCAGATGTGCAGACCCATTTTCACTAAAAGAAAAAAGACTGTAAAAGTGAAAGTTATAGCTACACTCCTGGAAAACATCATAAGCCTCAGAAGAAAAAGATGGACAGTATTTTTAGACATCTGGGGAATAAGCAAAAGCCACACTTATTAAGTTCTTCAGACTGCTGGTTCAGTCAATGATAGCTACGATCTGGTTTTGTTGTAATAAATTATATTCCAGCCATTAAAATGACAACCTGGAGTGTTTCCTTATAGTTCTGAAAATAAAAACACTAAATCTAAGATGCTGAAACAATTTACAGGCTATTCACGAGTTTCTCTATTAAACTATGATCTTATTCATTGTGTCAACTTTTCATGATCAAGTCTTTCCCTTATCTTTTTTTTTTTAAGGGAAGGAAATTTTTCTTTTTTTTAAGATTGATGTACTTATACAGACAGAACTGGGGTGCAGGCCAGAGGTGCAGGGGCGGTGAGAGGATTCATTAGAGACAGAGTGGGGAGCAGAACAGGCAAATGACCAAGTACACTGCTGAGGGGAGCAGCTGGTAGGTCAGGAGAGGTCTGCTTCTCCATGTGGATCACCTCTGGGGAAGGGATGGAACTTGCACTCAGTGGCTGAGGCTTGCTTGCAGTGCTGCACTTTAACCTGCTGCACCACCAGGGAGGGCTGTCCCCTATCTTGTGTTAAATGAAATTCTTGCATAACGTGATTCCTTTCAAGTTGTATCTTTTTAAGTGAGAGAGGTTACTTCTATTGATGAATTTACTGAGGTAACACTGATTTACAATGCTGTTTGTGTCTTAGAGTAGGATTACCCCTTTAGTCAACACCTGTGCAAAATGGGAGACCATTCTCGTGTGCAGGTAAGGAAGTAATAGGCAAATCGGAGTCGGAAATGACTTGCTCTCCCACCTGCTCCTATGTGTCTTAGCTACTGCATTGTAGAGAAAAAAGTGACTGACCCTGTCTTCAAATAGTCAGAGTATCAGTTATGATGACTGGCAAATAATATGTTTATGGATATAAGTAAGTTAGGAAGTCGAAATAGAATTAGCTGAGATCATTAAAAGCAATTTATATACAGATACATTTTAAAAGGCAGAGAAGAGTGGCTTGAATATGTGGATTTATGGAACAAGTGCTGGTTTGCTTCCATAGCAACAAGCACAACTCAAGGTGTGTTGTTGGGGAGCCTTTGTTTTGTCTCAAACATCTTGGGGTTATACTAATATCCAATTTCAATTCTAGATGGCTGGAGTTAAAGTCTTTTCATTGAGATTTCTCTTAAGTCTTTGCTAATTCATTTGACTATTCTCCTTTTGCTAAGGTTAATAAAAAAGGAGTCTTGATGATTTCTAAGTGTCGCTAGCATATTTTCGTAGATATCAATACTTCATGAAACTAAATTGTATATGGCACAACTGGTTTGATTATAATAAACATTTTCATTGCAGGCAAAAAGTACTGTTTAAATGTCATGCGAAATTGTGACATTTGAACTGGGACTATTATTAAATATTAAAAAAAAAAAGTTAATGTGAGAATAGTGGTAGTAGAATTCCACCATTTTGTAGTGGATTTTAAATGGCAGAGATGCTTTCTTCCAAATTGTCTGTTTTTTAAATGACAGATACTACTCTCTTCAGGAATTCTACATAATAGCAGTTCTCTAGCACTATTTCTTACAATTAAGTATATAAGAAGACATTAAGTTGTGAAGTTTTCAGTGGGTAGCAAACCAAAATCAACCACTTACTAGCTATGTAACAATGAATAAATTATCTCTAAAAGGTCATTCACTTAGCAGTAATTTTAATGGAAATTTAATTTATTAGAAATGCTAATTTGCAAACAATGTGACTTAGCATTTTAACATCATATGTACCCAATAAGTGGTAGAATTTTGTCAGAATATATTTGTGAAAACAATTTAATCCATGTTTTATGTGATATTTTTGATAGTAGCACATCATATAAGTAGGTAATGGTAGGACTGTTTTTATATTGTTTTATACAAATTGGGATAGTCATCAATCAGTTCATTTTAGGTCATCGAGCAAAATAAATCCACATTATTGCAACGAACAT